CCTGAGATTCCTCACCCAGCCTTTCTAGAAACATGATGTGGATTCATATTTTTGGAACGTCAACCTTAGCCACTCATCAGAGCTTTGAGAGCAGCAAGGGAAGAGTGGGAAGGATTCACCTCTCTGTATAAAATGTCGCGATAAAAGCAACAGACAACAACACAACCAACAGCCACTACCATCGTCCCTGTTCTTTCTGCAAGGCCCGAAATCCAGCCATTTCTGAAGAAGAAAAAAATGTATCTCCGGGTCACTCTCAGCAAGAGATTGGCTTAACTCATCTATGTCAGTGTCTCTTGTCTCCCCAGCTAATTATGCTGGGAAATGGTTTGGTATTTCCCCCTGTGGCTGCTGCTTGGGAACCGGGGAGATGGAAATGTTTCCCAAAACAGAAGGAGGACAACGGCCTGCGATAGCCAGCTGATCCCAGAATCCTTTGATATTCTTTCTTCACTTCCTCAGACACACAAAGCACTGGATTGGTCAGACAGCTCCCCCTGTGTAGCACAAACAAGAAACATTAATTAACAATAATTACCGTCCCCTCACCAGAATTAAAAGAGTGATGTTTAGATCCGTTTTAAGAAAGGTAATTTGATGCCAATGAATTATAGTTATAGAAACTTCATTACAGTCAAGAGCAATCTATCCAGCATTGTCCTAATCATACATTGTAAGGATAATCAATGCTAATGATTTAATGTACAATAATTACCACGATTGAAAAATGAAATACAATAATCACTATCATTTTTTGTTATCAATGATACAGATATTTTGGCATGGTTAATCTCCACTTGAGGCTGAGATAAAATTTCAGAGGTTTCTTCTCCCCCATTAAAAAAAACTGACTTCTCCCTCTTCCTCTCCCAGCTCTTTCTTTATTAAGACAAGAAATCTACAGTGCAGAACAGAAACGTCTTGCTCTTCCTGGAGGGTCAGAGTTAAAGGGCTATAGCCAAGCCTCCTCTCCTCTCACCAAGAGATCACCCTTGGTTTCTTTCTGAATGTTTTTGCGTGCAGAAAGGAGCAAGAATGCAGTAATCCTGATGGAGAGACAGGGTTGTGTCCTGGTTGAAGTTACTCCCTGATGCGTATATGAAACCATCCCATGGCTTCCTATCACCAAGAGAAAATACCCAAGCTTTTCAGCTTGACCTTTGCAGTGTGACATGTGTTGGGGTCCTGGAGCCAGACTGCATGGG